ATGGTTCGGTGGATGGATGGATGGATGGGTGGGTGGATGGATGGATGGATAGATGAGATAAAGAAATGAATGGGATAAGCAGAAGGGCAGCTGAAGGCCACCGGGGGGGGGAGTACCTGCATCACCTTTGTCCCCCTTTGCTCCATCTCGTCCGTCTCTTCCAGGCAAGCCATTGTGCCCAGGATTCCCAGGGATGCCAGAATGCCCTTGCCTGCACATGTCCTGTGAGTTTATGTTCCCTGTACAGGTTCCAATGGCAAGCAGGACCCACCAGATTCTCATGTCTCAGATGACAGAGTCTGAACTGAAAGAGAGAAACACAAGCAGGAATGATAAGCTTCTGTCCTGGGGGTCACATGCACACCTCTGATGGCACTTTGACAGAATGCTCAGGCAGGTAAGGTTGACAACCTGGTAGCATGCCAAGCTTTCTACAGCCCAAAGGAATTTGTTGGGGGAACTTTCCAGAATGCTCGGTGAGAGGCAGAGGATTGGCAGCTGCCTGAACTGCTCACAGCTACGCACTCTTTCCTGCGCCCCCACACCAACCTCCGCCCGCTCAACCGCTGTAGAAAATGGTGAAAGAAACCACTTACTATGATGTTTTGGGGGTCAAACCTAATGCCATCCAGGAAGAGTTGAAAAAAGTTTATAGGAAACTGGCCTTGAAGTACCATCCTGATAAGAATCCAAATGAAGGCGAGAAGTTTAAACAGATTTCTCAAGCCTACGAAGTGCTCTCTGATGCAAAGAAAAGAGAATTATATGACAATGGAGGAGAACAGGCCATCAAAGAGAGTGGAGAAGGTGGTGGTTTTGGTTCCCCTGTGGACATCTTTGATATGTTTTTTGGAGGTGGTGGAAGGATGAAGAGAGAAAGGAGAGGAAAAAATGTTGTGCATCAACTCTCAGTAACATTAGAAGATTTATTTAATGGTGCAACAAGAAAACTAGCTCTGCAAAAGAATGTGATTTGTGACAAATGTGAAGGTAGAGGTGGTAAGAAAGGAGCAGTAGAGTGCTGTCCTAATTGTCGGGGTACTGGAAAGCAAATACGAATTCATCAGACAGGACCTGGAATGGTTCAGCAAATTCAGTCAGGGCCATGGGGAATGGATCAGCCCTAAAGATAGATGTAAAAGTTGCAATGGAAGGAAGATAGTTCGAGAGAAGAAGATTCTAGAAGGTCATATTGAGAAAGGCATGACAGATGGCCAGAAGATAACATTCCATAGTAAAGGAGACCAAGAGCCAGGACTGGAGCCAGGAGATACTATCATTGTTTTAGATCAGAAGGACCATGCTGTTTTTACTAGAGGAGGAGAAGACCTTTGCATGTGTATGGACATACAGCTGTTTGAAGCATTGTGTGGCTTCCAAAAGCCAATATCACTCTTGACAATCGAACCATAGTCATCACCTCTCATCCAGGTCAGATTGTCAAGCATGAAGATATTTAGTGTGTGCTGAACAAAGGCATGCCACTTTATCGTATGACCATATGAAAAGGGGTGCTTAATCATCGAATTTAAGGTTAACCTTCCTGAGAATGGCTCTCTCTCTCCTGATAAACTCTTTGCTGGGGAAACTCCTGCCTGAGAGAAAGGAAGTAGAAGAGACTGATGAAATGGATCAGGTAGAACTGGTGGACTTTGATCCAAACCAGGAGCGGCGACACCATTACAATGGAGAAGCCTATGAGGATGATGACCATCACCCCAGAGGTGGGGTTCAGTGTCAGACATCTTAATGGGGGCGAGTGAATAACACTCACTACTGGCATTTTATATGCAGTAGTGAGTAAGTGAAGGACTGTAATCGTACACTTGCTACTTGCTATTGTTTTTGTTTTAATATTCAACAATTAGTAGTGTTTTAAAGTCAAATGAAGAATAAACTCAAAAATATATTTTTAACAAAAAAAAAAAAGGAATTTGTCCTCAGAGGGTGACACATGTAGTCAGGACCACTAGTAATGAGGAGTAATCAATCAAAAAAAAAAAAAAAGCCAATTATGAAGTCAAGGAACTGTCAAAAGAAAAATCCAGTCAATGAGCCAGTTAGAGTTAAAAGGCTTTATGGGGCAGAGAAAAACTGTTCAAACACAGGAAGCACCCCTCCAGAGAGCTGAGTTAATCACATTACAGTTCTGATCAGCTTACATATAGTACAAGCTGTTTGGGGAGTTCCCATAAGGGATACGTAACATGATTGGTTGTCATTCCCTTAACTGGCAGGAGGAGGCTTGGATTAGTTTATTAAGTTTGTATGTCTGCATTCTACAGGCTAGCTATGGCTTATCAAATTATTTAAACTTTTCCCAGAACTGTCTTTTTTTTAATGCATTTTATTGAAATATAATTTATGTACAGTGAAATACACAAAACTAAAGTGACATGGGTCAATACTTTTTTTTTTTTTTGCAGTGTGCCCTCCCCTCCCCTCCCAACCCTGGCAACCAACAAAGAAAGTTTCCCTCCATATATAAACCTTTCCTTAACCCTTCACAATAATGAACTAATACTATATTTGTCCTTCTGTGATTGACTTATTTCACTCAGCATAATGTCCTCCAAGCAGAACTGTCTTTATCACAAGCTTTAGTTTTTTGGAAGTGTTGAGTTCAATTTAAATGGGGGGGAGGCATTTTCTTTAACAATGCTCCCCTTATGGTCTTTATCCTAGGACCACTCTTAAATACCAGCCAGCATTTATAAGAGAATTAAAATATCACAGAACATCCACATCAATTGGCATAACATAGTCCATCAAGACAATGTTCTACATCCTACTTTGCTGAGTAGCAAGTGGGATCTTAAAAGCTGGTGAGTGGCCATGTAGGATACAACTTTTGGTCTCTTCACATCCAGAGCATAGAAGAGTGAAACAAATCAGAGACTCAACAATGATTAGTCAAAAGGACTAATGGCCCATATGAACCACAGCCTCCACTAGCCTGAGACCAGAAGAACTAGATGGTGCCTGGCTACCACTACAGACTGCTGTGATTAGGAACACAACAGATGGTCATGGACAGTTGTTGTTGTTGTTATGTGCCATGGAGTCGGACCCGACTCATAGCGACCCCTCTTTGGGTTTCTGAGGAGGCATCACTACGGAAGTAGATTGCCCAACCTTCCCTCTGAGGAGTGGCTGGTGGGTTTGAACCATCAGCCTTCTGGTTAGCAGTCAAGTGCCTTAGGCGCTATGCTACCAGAGCTCCCTGAACAGAGTCGGAGATAAATGTAGAAGAAAATTCAAAATCATAAAAACGACCAGACTTACTGTCTGACAGACACTGGCATAACCCCTCAGACTATGGCCTTTAAACACCCTTCAAACCTGGAACTGAACCCACTCTGGGAGATCGCCCCTCAGCCAAACAGCAGACAGGGCTACAAAGTGAACAATAACCCAAGAGGACCGTGCTCCTCAGGACAGTCAACCATATGAGACCAAAGTGTAGCATTTCCCAAAAATAAAGCTCAGAAGGCAGGAAGGGGCAGGAAATGTGGGCGAATGGAAACAGGAACCCCGGGAGGAGGTGGGAAGAGTGCTGGTGCATCAAGAGGATGGCAACTCATGTCACAGACAGAATGCGTACCAACTGTTACTTTAATAGTCATTTAATTTAATAATGTGTTCTGTAAAGTTTCACCCAAACCTATATGGATGAATAGATAGGTGGGCAGGCTAAACGATTAGGTATGTCTATGAAATGGGGAGTGTATCCAAGATCATATATAGGGTTGGCAGACAATGGTCCTATAAGTTTATGTGAATGA